TCTTTGCCATTAATAGAGAGTTGGCGACTTTCTCCATGTCACCAGTTCATCACATGGCCTGAAGAAGCATTTTGTATATTAAAAGAGCTTCTAAGGTGAAAACCTGTGGAGGAGTTCATATTTAAGAGGCTTAGGAGTTTCATTACATTAAGATGGAGCAGAGATGTGCTCCACACACTGGATGAGAGAGTATGTTATTAAAAAGCTAAAGATTAGATCACCCAGAGATTATGCTATTAGATATGTGCTTGATCCAAGTCGGCACACAACGCAGTAATGTAGCCGCGTCTGAGGAAAGGTGAAATGGTTACAAAGAAAAAGCCAGCTTTTTTTTTTTAACCAGTTTTAAATTTAAATTTATTAATCAGGCATTGTTAACAGACAAAAATAGGATTTTTTTTTTTTTTTTATGAGGATAGGGGAAAATAATATTTTGATCTTTTTTTTTTTATGTCATCAAAAGTGTTTCAAATGGTTAAGCTGCACTGCAAAAATGGCAATGTGGAGCAGGTAGCAAAGTAAGATGTTTAAGCAATCAATTGGTATCAAACTGATTATTAAATGCATGAACTATAAAGAACCACTGTAAAACAATCAAGAAAAATGAATTACTGCATTTCTTTGTGTTCCAGGCTGTTTATATACAGTCTGTATTTCCATTCTGATTTGAACAAAAATGTTAAAATCAGCTCACACTTTATTAACAGTTGAGGGGCAAATGTATTTTTTGTACAGAACCCCCCCCCACCCCATCCCCCAAAAAAACAAATAAAAAAAAACAGATATGTGATTGAAGTAAATCACATTTACTTGCAAAAATAAGCCAGTCTACTGCTCTTTTATGTAGCTTACATAGGCAGGTATCTGTGACTGAGCTGTGGTTGGGTGCAGTAGACTCCCTTCTAAAGCTGCAGAGCCCCTGCTGACTCTGTGTGTGTGTGTGTGTGTGTGTGTGTGTGTGTGTGTGTGTGTGTGTGTGTGTGTGTCTGTTTGTGCATGATTATATAATCGTTTCCTCTGTTCTTGTTGTGTGTTTACGAATACGTTGGTATTTTTTTCCCTCTCCCTTACCCTAATTAGAATGGTGATTAGCTTGGCATCCGACTTAAAGAGATTTTTTTTTTTTTTTTAAAGCACTAGAAAACTGTCTATTTTGCTATCTCTCCTCTACCTATAAAGTGTGCAATTCTTTTCAGGCGGATTTTGACGACATCTCACGAATGCCCTGTAATTCAGCAAGTTTTATGCAGAGCAAACTTGACGCAACCTCCTTTCTTGGGCCCGTTTCCCAGGAAAGCTCCTTGAAAGAGGTCGATCGTGCAGGGTCTCCCCCTCCTCGTATACGTCAGCTGAGCAAAAGTGAAGACACCAGCCAGCAGAGACATGAGTGGGAGGAGTGAACGAAGGCAAGCACGGATGCAGACTGAACTGAGACCCGAGGTATGCTTTAAAACAAAAATAAAACAAACTAAAAAAAAACTAAGAAAATTGCAGTATCCTTACAAGCTGATGTGTTTGTTGTTTTTCTTATTCATGACTTTGGAGATGACTTTGATGTCTTTGTTGCGGTTGGCTCATGCCTCTGCAGACATCACTTGTCAGTCGCAGAGTCTCTTTGACAGGATGGCACTTGCAGTTTCTGTCAGCATTGTTTTTTTTTTGTTCTCTTTCCTTAAAGTGGTATGAGTTTGCATGCGGCACAAGCAGTTTTCCCACAATATTTGGAGCGAATTGGAACAGTATTTGTACCTGTTGAACTTTTCTTTTTGCATTTTTTGGCGTCAAAACCACAAACAGCCCATTTTAATGGGATCTTACGTGATTCGGCAAAAACAAAATGCATAACTGCAAAGTGAAAAATGGAGAGTATATAGTTTCAACAATCACTTTAAGTACAAATGAGAAGTATGGAGTGCAATTGCATCCAGTCCCACTGAATTAATATTGCGTATGTCACCTTTTGGTACCACTGCAGGCCTGATGGAAATCCCTAAAAATTTACAGAAACATTCCAAAGTGAGCAATGTAAGTAACTTGTAACCATGTTTTTTGTTCATATTACTAACATGGGTTTGACCTTTGGTTACCGCATTATGCTTTTAATGCACCTTTCCACATTTTTAAAATGCCTGGTAGAGTTATCCTGCAAAACGGCAGTCAGTTTAGACCGAACCATCACGTACATTTTATTTACAAATGTGCTTTTTGACATTTTTTTTTATTTGTAGAGACATCAATCCTTCTACCAACTTTATCAGCATTAAGTCTCCGTGGTGAATGAAGAACAGCAATATTCTGCCAACAGCACTGTTTCATCACGGGAATGTTGTACTCAAAATGCTTTAAACCAAGGTGTGGGGGATCAGTTGCTGAGGACTTTGGATCAAGGAACCCCCCCACCTTCCATTAAAATATGAGTCTCTGTTCCTATGAATCTTTTGTTTTATTAAAAAGCACTGTTTCATTTTCCATGTTTAGCGGAATATTCACGTGTATGTTGGTAGCTATTTGGACTGAGAGTGAAACAAGTTTGGACAGTGATCGGTTTCTAACAGGCGCTTAGGGTTAGAAGGGTCCCAGTTTCGAAGAAGAAGAAGAAGAAGAAGAAGAAGAAGAAGATGAAGATGGTTAATATAGCAGCTATAGTGTAACGCACGGATCGTTGAATGTGTTTTTATGTTCAGAAAAAAAGGAAGTAAAGGAAATTTACAACCACCGCATATCTCGACACCACTTTTGTTCGAGTGTGCAACAAAGGCTACAAACCCACCTTTTAAGAGTTTTATTTAAATAATGATAACCAAAACATTGATTAACAAATTTGAAAATGATTATTCTTGATCCTTTCCAAGACGGCATTTGACAAAATGCAAGGTTTATTACTTATTTCACAACTGATTACTGCATTATGCTTTTATTGTGTAAATTACTTTGAACTGTCTTGTTGCTGAAATGTGCTATACGATTAAACTCGACTTGGCGGCACAATCATGCACTGTTTTGTTTTGGTCTTCTCCAGTGTGTTATTGAATGTCTGACCTTTTGTTTTTTATATATAATTGTATTAACAGAAGTCTCACCACTTTGTTGGTGATGGTATTTTTTCTACCCTACTTCGGTAGAAAAAGAAAAAAAAAAGGATCAACTGATGAGAGATGAGTAACGGAAGAGGAAACGGCTGAATGATGGGAGTGTGGGAGTTGGAGTGGACACGAGGATGAGGGTGGGAGAGGTAGGGCGGTGATTGGAAGTACTAGGCAAAGGTAGACTGATAGTTCCAGCTGAGGGAGGATGAATGTCGTTTGAGTGAGGAACATTGGATTTAAAATGTGCTTTGTGTAAATGAAAGTACACAACAAAAGTGGACCCGTTGTTACTCCAACAGACTGCATTTGTATCCTGCAGAGACACCGGCAGGACACGTTCTGAGATTTTGAATTTACCTTATTTAAGTCACAGCTTAAGTCTGGTAAACGGAGAAACAAACAACATAACTTAAGAGTCAAACCAAAGAATGCAATAACAAGTAGACTGGTGTTATGTGAGGGTAGAAAGGGGCAGCGTGGGGCAGCTGGGTAGGGTGTGACAGCGAAGGCAACATTAGCTAAGGCCTCATAGGAGACATTTTGGGGCCAAGCCTATAGTAATGAGCATAGGAGTCCAACTGTGCATGCACTAGAAGCAGACAGGAAAGACAGACCGGTGGGGGAGAAAGACAGGTGTCAGGGGGCGGGTGGTGCAGAGCTTGATCTTTCAGCACACTCTAAGCTTTTGTTCACAGCTGAAAATAAATGAAAGCATGCATGCCACATTTAACACCAGAAAGCACTTCTCCAGGTATTGCTGGAAGATCTGGATGTTAAGACATAATTTCCTGTTACGTACTGCAGCTAGTACAAATATAAACACCTGTTTAAAAAAAAAACTAAACAAAAAAAAAAAAAAAAAAAAAAAAAAAAAAAAAACTTTTTTCACATCTTATCACAATGCAACCTCAAACTTTAGTGTATTTTCTTGTGGAAATGCTTTTCATTCCAAGCACAAAATTGTGACTTGGAATGAAAAGGTTTGATTTGCATTTTACTCCATCCCCTTTACTCTGATACCACCAAAAAAAGCACATCATTTGTGTCATTTAATCACAATATAATATGGCTGTTTGGTGCAGATCCCAGGGGGGTTTTATCCTTGGTGCTAACTGAGCAAGCAGCAGTCAGTCAGAGCTCAGATGGAAACTTGGGGAAGAAACTGAAAGCAGTTAAAGCATTAAAAACAATATTCCAGCAATATGAAAGAGCTTGTTGCTTACAATAACAATATACAGCCTGTACCTTTGCCTTCTTAATTTCCAGACGGCACAAAAGGCTCAGGAGAGAGAAAATGACATCAGAACAACAAAGCTTGTGTACACGCAAGAGGTCTCACTTTAATATAAACTGTAGGATTACATCTGTGTCTGGTGCATTTTTGTTTAAAACATGTTTGTATTTCATTAAGTGAGATTATTCACAGTAAGCAGAGTAGCCATGATCCCCCCCCCACCCAGTAAGAGTAGCAACCATATCCCAAGCTTTGAGCATCTCGCAGAGCTTGTTGCTTACAGTAACAATATACAGTGTGTAGATTGACGTTGTGTGTAGATCTGTCTTTCTCTCTAACTGTCTCTGCTTTGTTTCTGTGCTCTTGATTTTATATTTGTTTAAACCATCATCAACAAGCTTACATTTTTACTCAACCCTGAGAAACACAATCACAATATTAGAGAGAGCAATAATGCATGCAAAACAGGCATGTTTAACATTTGCTCCACTTTTGCACTGCGGTTCGTGCCCGCACAGCATGGTGGGTGTTTTTAACGCGCGCGTGCGCGCGTGTATGTACTTGTGAGGCTCACAGCGAGAAACCTTTTTTTCTTTTTCTTCTTCTTGTTTTTTTTGTTTTTTTTTTGTCCTCCTATCGGACGTCGCATCTCGTGTCAGGGCTTCCAGGTCCTGGGCCAAGTTTCTTCGTGTCAGACCATCCACACGGGGATTCAGGCGTAGGCTGCCCACGCGGCCCAACCCACCCGCGCGCGCATCTCATCTCCGCTCCACGCTGCGTAACCAACTCCTTAGCGAGGATGGACTGGTAGCAGAGAGGAGGCATGGGGAGACGTTCCGTCTTTAATTGACTGAAGGCGCAGATGAGGACCACTTAAAGCGACTTCTTTGACTTCAGTCCGTGATTCTTTTTTTTTTTATTTAAGGACTAACTGGTTTTATTTTTTATTACTTACGAGCAAAGGAAAGACACGCACTGTGTGGAGAGAAAGGGGAGAAAGAAAGAAAGAAAGAGGGAAAGAAAGAAAGGAAAAGGGAAGGTCCAGGTTGCTGAGAAAGGCTGGGTGCGCTAGAACGTCGGAAAGTCACGGATCATGCTTATGGGAACTCCCGATTCCGTCTTGATAAGGTATTTGAAAACAAAGAAGTTGTCTCGTTTGCCTCCGTTCTTTGAACGCTCATCAAGTCCAGAATTTACTTCACGCGACAAAAGAATCAGAAAGAGGGATGACGAGCGCTCCCTTTCCTCCGGTGTTTATTTCCTTTGGCACAGTTACTTAAAAACTGCAACATGTTTTCATTTTAATGGCGATCTGGAAAAAAAAAATCCTTTATGAAACGAGTTGGACAATTTAATGCGCTTTTCTTTTCTCATGTCAGAACAAAAGCCCATTTAAAAAAAAGCTTCAAAAGAGTTAAGTCTTCTTTGCTGGATTATCAGGGCTAATGTTTCGTTCTTGATGCTATTCCATTTATTATAATAATCTGGATTAGTGTGGCGTAAATTGCTTTTTTCCCCCTCATTTTTTGGCGCATACTCCTGTATGCCTACCACTGAATGGTGTGGGCTAAAAACCTTCAGTATATCAGAGACAGAGCGGTCCATCTGTTCAATCACATAGCAACAGGAAGAGAAAAGGAGTCAGGAATAAAAAATAAATAAACAAAATCTTTACTATTTCTATTATATAACAATGTAAATCTGTGGCCGTAAGATATCTCTACACTCAATACGCTTCAAAAAGCCTGTCTAAATGTGGGATGCCTTGGAAAATCTCACCGCCAGTGGTTTTGTTCATGTGCCACTGCCATTTCTGATACGTCAAAATTCATATGATAGTGGAATGAATAAAGCATGTGATTTATTTAAAATCAATGCAGTGCCTTAGCTAACTTCTTAATATATATATATATATATATATATATATATATATATATATATATATATATATATATAAATATATTTTTTTTTTTTTTTTCAATTATGACCACAAACATTAGTTGTTAGTGGGTTTTACGTTTGATAAATTGGGCATAACAGTAAGATGGGAAGAAATCGAAGAAAGGTTTTCAAAAGTTCTGAAAATAAAAATCTAAAGTGTGACATGCCTTTGGACTTCCTCAGAATAAATATACTTTGAAAAAAAAAAAAAAAAAAAAAAAAACCTTTCAGTGAAATTATAGCCGAAAATCTTTAGCAACTGGTGTTTGCCAGATTTGAACATTGAAAAAAAAAAAGATTTTACCCATTCCCTTTTGCAAAACAGCTAAGGCTTAGTAAGATTCAATGAAGAATGTCTGTAAAAAGATAGTTTCAACTCTTAGTACATATTTTTAGTCAGGTTTAAGTCTGTGCTTTGATTGGGCCATTGTACCACAAACATTTGGAGGTAAGAATGGCCCAGAATTTCAGGTCTGGCTGCATGTCCTGCAAGAAGGAAGAACCTCTACCCGGGTTTTAAATCTCTCTGAATCTGTGTCTGTATATATAACACTTGAGTGAATTTAAGGTGTTGCTGTCTTTGATTTTTTTTTTTAAATGTATAAGAACAGGCTAAGTTGGAAGAATGATTGCGCAAAAGTGTTGAGGGTTTGTAAAATTCTGCCGCTGTGTAGTACGTTCACTGGAAGCAAGTTCTTGTGTTGCCAAGGGACTGATGGACAGAATGGTTTAAGTGTTGACTTGGCTCATTATGTGATTTATCTGTGCTGAGCTGATCACTCTTTCACTCTCGTTTTTTTTTGTTTTTGTTTTTCCTCTGTCGCTCCTTCTTTGCTTTTTCGCAAACAATCCTTCCTCCACCTGCATGTCTGGTGTTGATCTCTGAACACCAACCACTCCCTTCCTCCCTCCAACCTCTAATCCTCTGACCTCTCCTCTAGAGTGGCTCTGCCTGATGCTCTATCATGACTGATGGCGAAGGGAGAGTGCGCTTTCAGTACGAAGAGTGCCAGGAGCAGGGCGAGGTACAGGAGGACGTGAGGCTTTCTGTATCGGCAGGCCACAGGACCGACGCCCCAGATCACAATGGTGACCCAGAAGGACAAAGAGGAGGAGGAGCAGGAGGAGGCCGGGAAGAGGAGCAGAAGCAGCAGCAGCAGGAGGAAGAGAAGGAGGAGGCGCTGGAGAAGAAGAGGAGAGGGAGCTGTGGCGGTCGAGGAGAAAGGAGAGACGAGTGGAGCGCAGAAGTTCAGGAATGTGAGGAGGAGCAGGAGCCAGAGCTGGAAATGGAAGCTGGGCCTACGCTGGGAGTCCGCATCACAGCTCCAATCCGCGACCCGGACTGCGTGTCCGAGGAGGAGGAGCAGCAGCCGTATCCGGCCCTGGCTCCTGTGGCCTTCTTCTGCCTGAAGCAAACAACAAGACCCCGCAACTGGTGTCTTCGCATGGTCTGTAACCCATATCCTTTCATGTGCCGGAGATCATGATCCGACAACTGGTAAGCCCGAATGTGTCCTCGTCCTCGTTTGCCTGGTTATGGTAAAGGTTGTATGAGTCGTTAGCGGTTGTTGGATGGTCAGTACAAGGGGCCACCATCTCTCCAGTACAGCACATAAAACAATAGAAAACCTGTTCGGTGCAGGACTGGCAGATAAGTTCTAGATTTTTTCTATCTGAATCAATAATCCTGTATCCATATAAACTAGATGTGAAAAGCTTTTTTGTCTGTCTAAAAGTTTTGGTTTTTCAAAGCATCACGGTACATTACATTGTCAACATATGCAGCAAGTCGCCTGTCTGAACTAATGGGTAAATATTTGGAGGTGTAGAAAATAGCCTTGAGAGGCATTACTTCCCTTTCTTCTTGTGGTTTAGATGGTTTAATGGTGCTTTTGATGAACTTTTGTGCTTAGCTTATTTAATATGTCAGTATGGTTAAATTTTGGTGATTGGTGAAAACGTTCTGTTAGTAAAAATAATAGTTTGGTACTTAACCCAGTCAGTCAGTCAAGCACTGTTTGCACAGTGATGTTAAAGCAGCACCTTTTCTCCAACGAGAGAGCTAATGGATGCATTGTGGTGAGGTCCACTAGGGTCAAGCTGACCTTATTTGTGTAGGAATGCTTGTTGGCGTTAATAAATGGTAGGGGTGTAAAATACATCCTGTTCACAAGACCAGATACACGAGGGCCACGAGAATGAGAAGAATAAAGAGTCGTATGTTTTGTTTTCACAAATAGAGTCGAGCTTTACCAAATTGGTTTTTTAATCAATTTCTAATCTATAATAGTCTAATCAAGGCTTGAGTAGTCCATATAAAGTGTTTTTCATTTTTATCTCAATCTCCTAATGCCAGTATCCCAAAACAAACAAAAAAAAAATCATAATTGTGTTTCCAGCAACAATTTTTGTGTGCATTTTGAAGTATCGCGCAAGAAAAGTTTGATGGAAACCGAACACTTCCAAATAGCTTCCTCAGTTTCGTAAAAAAAAAAAAAAAAAAAAATATGCTTGCTTGATGTAATTTTTCTCTTTTCCGAAAATAGTTAACGTGCTAAAGCGCGAAGATGTGATATAGTAAACATTTACTTCACATGACCGATCAGCTGTTCCCGCCACTGGTGAAAACACCCGGCAAACACTGCACAGCATGGCGTCATGGTCTGAACTTTTTTGTTTGGCTTTGGAGTTATTTTGATCCAAGTTGAGGCTTTGTCTTTTATCAGGCAACACACAAGTTGGCAAAGCAATTTTTTTTTTGCAAAGATCATGGCTTTTTACAGTCTGTTGTGTCTTGTTAGGTCGATATTGTTTCACCAACAGGGATGAGATGATCAATTGATTTTGATAAGTTTTGTATTTTAATAAGGATTAATTTGTGCTGTATTTGGATTTGACTGCAACTCTATGATGGGAATGTATTAGAATGATTTATTTTTGTAACTATTTGTACAATGGGATTTATTGTAACTTGGTCTTATTACCATAAACTAAATTAACTTGAACTGTTTCAGCCAGCTGACCAGAAGCTCTTAGCGTCAGAGTCAGCACTAAAGCTGCTAAAAACCATGCAGTATTTCTGGTATCTCACTATAAGTATCTTATAGTGAAAGAGTAAAATGGAAATTATAGGTGGATTTAGACCCGAAACTCCTTAAAATATCTATATACTTTGGTACCAGTAAACAGCTTATGTCTATAATATTTTAGGTAATCCTGATAACAAACTTGTACATGAGTAACTATTATGATTCCATTAAAATAATCATGCATAATAGACATCTCAGCAGGGAACTAAGTTCTTCTGATGTCGATTTTAGGATTCGTTTAAGCTCTTGGGGGGAAGTTTTAAATCAGATTTTAATCTTTTATTCTTTTTTACAGTGCAGATATAAGCAGAAAAAAAGGAGAAAAGAAAATAAATGTACAAAAAAAAAGGACACATGAAGTCAAGTTAAATCTACGAACGGTGGTTTGTGTTCAACAAAATCTTTCCAACTAGAATCAGATGGATTTTTATACTGTATGTTTGATTTCAGTTTGTTATTTCTCTCCGTTTCTTTCTACCTCTCAGCCTTTCCCGATAGCAAAGCAGTTTGCAGTTTGCCAAAAATGTTAATTGAATGAACAATATTGCTCCCTTTTACATATGTTACATATGTATTCATATGTAGTTGTAGCGCCCTATTTCTGTAGACTGCATTTCAAAGTCTTGCATGTTTTATGTATTTCTGTGTGTGTATGTGAATTTGGAGTTTCATTGTGACGGCACTCCATAAAAGTCTGGAGCTTTTATGGGATTCAGTGGTTTGGAGACGAATCGTCAAGTTGTTTGAAGTTTGAGAAGGTGTAGATGCTGCAGACAGGAAGTAAATAGACAATCGGGGTCTCTTGCATCCTGTGTGTTTCCATATTCTTAAACATAAGCAAACTCAGAAAAAAAAACCTTGAAACACTCATACAGCATCAGTTACATCAGTTCAAAGTTATATGCGAAGATTTGTTTACTTTCGTTGATTAGCTGTCGCAAGTGAAGCTGATGAATCACATCCTCTTCAGCACGGTGCCGTGTGACGTAGGTCAAAAACTCTCTTCGGCGATCTGCCTGAACAGGTCGGTGTGCATCAGCCTGCTGTTCTACACGACCCTCCTCTTCAGGGGAGCTTAGTATAGATCCAGTGCTTTAATGTCTCAATAAATCTGGGAGTGATGACATTGACTGTCCATTTGTGGTAGAGAAAGGGTATCTGGCTGGCATATTCTGTTGTGAAAGATTTTTATTCAGTTTTTTTTTTTATTGTATTATAATTATTTTTTTATCCAAATGGCTTTTGAATGATTAATGGCTTGTGCAAACCCACTTAGGTAGTATCTGAAACATTTATTTTTTATGTTTTTGTGTCCACCGGGTCTTAATAGGCTCATGAAAGGTCAACGTCATTGCGAAACTGGCCTTTCTATCGATTATGAAAACAGTCAGCGTTAACAGATGTTAAGTATGCAACACAGCCGCATGTTGAACGTAATGCACTACATTTTTTAAAATGCGATCAAATTGTTTCCTTTTGCTGGCATGGGTTTATTTTGGTTCTCTCTGGCTTCATTTCACAGTCCAAAAAATAAAAAAAATATGGCTGTTCCCATAAATTGGTGTGAGTCTGGTATGCTACCACTGTCATTGTATTGGTTATACCACTTATTTATTGGTATTTTACTTTGTATTCATAGTCTAAGACAAAAAACCCACAAAAAAACAAGCAAAATATTTATTAGTAAATATTAGTAATTATTTAAAAAAAAATAAAACAACCTTGTTAAATCTATTAGTAGCTTGCATTATTGTTTTGGACCATTTTCCTTTTTGCAGAGCGGGGCTGCTCAGTGAATTGTCCAAAGGGCCACTTGAGTAACTTTAATTTTATGCATTGCTTAGGGTCAACTAATTGGTTGTAAAAATTAGTCCTGCTAAAAAAAAAAACAAAAAAAAAAAACAAACAAACAAACTTTTAAAGTTGATTTTCATTCTGCAATAACTGGGCTCTGGCAGTCATTGCAGCTGATCAAAAAAACAAGTGACATGCTGCACTGGTGACAAAACTACATTTTTATGTAAATTGCCATGTTTTAGAGAAATAACGGCAAGGAAAAATGTCTGAGATGTTGAATTTCACTGTGTTTATACTCTGATCATTTTAATTCAAGCTGTGATCCCTGATTACAACTGTGTTTTCTGCTCAAACACTCACTTATTTAACTTCAGCAAGTAAGGCGCAGGGCTGCATGATGTCGGGAAATTGGATTGCGATATTATTGCTTTCAAATTTCTCTGTGACCTTTAGGATCTTGACTAAAATCTGCATCAGGTGAGCAAAGTGTGTTTTCATGGTGGGTAGAAATAGCAGGCAACAAATATTGCATTCCTTCGAGTACTTAGCAATATTATTGTTCACACAGAGACATTTCAGCGAATATATTGTGCAGGCCGTACTTAAAAGCCCATGAATTGTCAAAAATCCCCACTTTCTCTATTATTTTGCTTTTGTTGTTGCTATTTATTTTTGACCTGGCAAATGATAATACTTAAGAAACTCGACGGGAAAAAGAATCAACAGCAGTGGCTTTCAAATAAAAGAAATTGGTTTTGCATGCAGAACTACCACTTTAGGTATGTTTATTATAGTACATATAATGTGAATCTGTTTATTATAACCCTAATACGATAGGGTGCACTCATTTCCTTTCCACACTTTGTTTTTGTGAGTGGACATATTTCTAAATGTGTTTCTTGAAAACAATGGAAAAGTGTTGTGACGTTTCAGTGAGCTGACCTGCAGTGCACAGCAATGAAGGTAGGGCCACGATTGCACTTTCTCTGTCATCTCATTGAAAGGACACCAGGAAAAGCACAACACAAAATGTTCACTCTTTTCAAAAGATAACTTTTTAAAACATTGGTATACCTCGATACCCATAATTTCGCCTGTTCTCCACATCCCTGTTATGACAGAGTAGTAGCTAACCAGGATGTTTGTGATAAAAAGTAGATGCTCCTGTGTTTAGCGCTTTTTTTTCTTTTTATATTTTAAGATGTAGAAATACATATTTTTTTCCCCCTGAATTTGTTGAGAGAGTTGAATATTTTTTATGCGTGAGCATGGCTAATAAGCAGGGCTCACACTGTCACATGCCTGCTATTGCTTTTGTAACCGCTTGTATAAGAATAGAACCAGCTTATGTCATACGAGCTGATCTCAAAGGATATCTAGCCGTGTTTAATTCCTATGTGTCTCTACATGAGTGGGTGTGTGTTCACGGCCCATTATAAACACTACAAACCTGGTGGTCCATAGTAGACTTTGTAAATATTACTTTGAATTGTAAACGCAGCTTCACGCTCTGCAACAGTGAGGTACAGTGAAAGTGGTGAGAAAAAAAAAAAAAAAAAAAAGAAACTATTCT